CTTGACCAATGTCAAGGGCATATATATAATGAATGATGCCCCATGCCCCATCCATAGGTGGTGCATTTTAACAGTAATGAAAACTATATGGGAGCTTCTTTTCTGCTTAATTCATTACATTCAAACATCACAAAATACACCACCCATAACCTACTAACTGTATTAACCCTTAAACCCACCCTAAACCTCCCACACAGGCATTCACTATAAAGAGGTGTGGCAAGTCTCTGCAAGCCAATAAAATTATTTTTAAATAGATTAAACACAATAGGCACCACAAAAAGGGTTAATATACATTGGCCAAGTGATACTACAACACACAACCCGAGCTTCCTAGACACTTCCAATCTCACACTCAAGGAGTCTTTGATGTATTCATCATTGGCTGTCTTGGACCTCCATCTACCATGCCGCTTATACATCCCATCTGGTACACCCTGATTAGCTGCCAGAGGGGCTCTTTATGCCCAAAAGCTGTGAGTACCAACGAGTGAAGGTTTGTATCCAATAGCCTTGAGACTGTTCAGCAGAAGCTCCCTAACCCTAGTATAGCTGAGAGACCCAGACTTCTTAAGCTTTTATCCCTTCTTGGTACTAGTAATTGCCCGAAAAAGCCATTCTGTACTAGAAGCCTCAATGCCAGCCAACCTATAGTACTGGTCAATCCATATACAGGGCATGTGGGTGTGTCAGAGCGTAATATAACATCATTACCTTGTTAAAGTTGGTTTGTCTTGCTTAATAGGATCTTGACCACAACATGGCTAGAAATATAACGGACATCACAGCAATGAAGATTGACAAGCTCAGCAAACCTGAGGAAAGCTGCAAATGCTATAAGAGCCTTAGCAATTGTCCTCATACTTGAATGGCTGGGCATGAGCCCATCAACGAAATCTCTTAACATATCAGTGACAGGCTCCTTCAGCCTCTTTGGTTTAGCCAAAGCTCACTATGATAGGCTGTAACCCCATAGCCTGATTAACCTGGGGTACTGCATTAATCACTTCTTTGACTGCGACTCTGGATTGCGCCTGGTCTAACAGGTGTTGCAGGTACAAAGTTAAATGGAGTGGGACAACAGGAAACGATTGAATTTCAGATTGGTATGCCCATTGCTTCCATCTACTAAACGTTGCCACATACTTCTTAACAATGCTCCCTGCCCTCAAATTCAACACAGTCCTTTTTAGACCCTATACTAGAGGCAGGAGTTTTGGGTCCTTAATTTGAAGTAGCCCCTCCCTAACAACCCCATGCAACATCTCTGAAAAGAAAAACACACACATATATATATATATACATGAATATAGAAACACACAGCATATACATCTATACATAATAAAACCATACTTAAGTGTATTGGTGTTATGGGGATCTTTTATTTGTACCAGACAGGTATAAGGCTATTAGTAGTTTAAAACAAGACAGCAACATTGCAAATGAACAATGAAAATGAACTTATCAAGCTTGGCAAGAAGCCAAGGTAGGGACATCTATGCATAACTGACTACAACCAGGATTATAACCGATTAGGCTAATTAGGCACACAACTTTTGATAAATATTGCCTCATTGCACAGGGCTTGTGGGCCTTGAAATACTGGCATTATGATTAATGAAATCAAATTAATGTACAGAGCCTATCAATACTTAAGACATAGCCCATGACTTAGCTAATTAGCAATCAGCACTGAAAGTGCAAACATCACTAGGCTATGATCAGCCAACAGCTCTTAAAGGGAGCCACCTCACGCAATGCATCAGAAGTAGGAATCCCATGTTTGAATAAACATGCACCCAACTTGCCTTTAACAAACAAGCCTGGCTCCAAAGCGAAAAATACATTAAATTCTTAACAAATTTGTCTAGCCTACCTTGAAAGTCACAAATAAGAGGCCGGAAAGTAGCTGAAGGCAACTTAGGCACAACTAAGGTACCAGCACATTTGTAATGCATAGCATGAAACAGCGAATAAGAAATTAAGTATATTGGGGAGCAGAAATAATTATGCTCATTCTGCCAATCAACTGTGCAAGAATCCTTGCTGCCAATCCAGTATCCAGAAAATGACTGTTCAATCGAAGTAACTTAGCATTAAAGGAATTGGCAAACCTGTCGACAGTATGAGGACCCCACTTAGATTATATAAGCTGAAAAGCTGCAATTGGCAGCCCCAATCATTATAATATACAATACAACTTAGGTAGTCTACTACTTCATTTTTTTCCAGAGGTAACCACTCCAACTCTACTATAATAATGTATGGACAGGTAATTTGAAATTAGCAATTGCTTCAGCCAGCAACTCCACTCTACTACCCACCTTGATTATATGAACGACATTCTGGTTATCTGAAAGATAACCAGATAATCGTGGAGCAAACACCGCGAGGGTGAAAGTTACTGCTCTCAAATTTCTCTATGTAAAGCTCTCCAGAGGTGTTTATTGGCGATGAGCAGTGTTGTCACCATGAGCTACTACTGTGTATCTACCAAAACCAGTATGATGACTAGACAACTGGAACAGCAGAAGGGTCCCGCCATACTCTTCTGCCAATAAAGCTATCAATATTGTTAAACCAAAATGATAATTTGTCCTTAAACAAGAAGGTGCACTATAAAACTATTCACGCAATGTCATGAAATCGCTTGCGTCAATCACAGTATAAAAGGAGGTGCCCTGGGCACAATATGGCGGCCAGATTGAATGAAATTTGAAAATAACAAAATGGCTCCCGCACTGGCACTGTTCTTATCATGGCTAAACCACTAGCAAAACGCATTATAAAAACATTAAAATTAGCAAAGGTGAGACAGTTAACCTACAAGCACACATAGAAAGCATAGCAAGGAGAGAAATGGTACAATTGACTTGAAGTATTAATTTTACATTATTATCAAATATTATATTGTATATATTATGAAAAATCTGCCAACAGCCTAAGAAACACGGTCAATGATGCTGCCAGGCAGGTAATAAGTGATAGTGGCAAGAGAATAGCCATCAATACTACACAGAATACCAGCCCAAGAACCACCACCACTGGGACCAGACAGCCCTGCCGACTACCATATATCAGCCACCATCATCAAGTATAAGTGGTTCCAGCAAAAGACACCAACATGGTCCTCATTCAGATCCTAGTACTGGTAGCAGTTGTAACATTCATCGATCTACTTGAAGAAGTAAATGCAAAAATACTATTCTAAATTTTTATAAATATAAACATTATAGGGTTGAATAGATATTGGGATGGTGAGGAGCCTCCTGTATCTGTGTACCTCTTCCCAACTGTGCCCAGCGATGCCGACAAAAATGTGGCAGTACTGTTATGGTAATATACCAGCACAAGAAAAATGCTAGTACGAGCCTAAAAATATTAATGCCACCATATGATTACTTTACATTACAAATAATACTTACTTCTGTATCTAGTGCCTAATAAACTTGAGTTACGATTACAGGACTCACAACTGGCATTGAATCGAAATTCAGCAGAAATCACATGACGATCTAAAATTATGAATAGTTTTGATGATGTTGATAATAATAGTAATAATAATAATAATACTAACAAAGAATACCTGTCTGTAACTGATCATCCTTCGGTCAATCATACCACACTAATGTATGTTTCCCAATAGCCGATCCTATATCTATGCACAAAATGGCTGCTCTGCGTCCCCATCACCCATACCTTATTTATATATAATCACTAATTTAAACACATTATAACTACCTGAAGTATTGGGCATAGCAGAAGAACTACTAGTATTATGTGATAGAGCCTCAGAATGATTCCCTTTTTAAACTAAATCGGCGAGTATGACACACAGAGCAGTTCCAGCACCTTCTTTTAGTACCTAAAGACCCCTTAACTCGATCAAGCCTAACTAGAACTGGTCCTTGTCTTCTTAGAGAGTAAAATGGAAGTCCATTTGGTACCAAAACCCCTTTCTTTCTGCGTTTTTCCTTGAAGAAGCATAACTGAATACAAACAAGTTCTAAGCCTACAATGTCTCCTAGAGCAGGGGCGTATCTAGGAATTTGGAAAGGGGGGTGCTAGAGTACAGAAACGTGTAAGAAGTGCAATGCGGGGCACGCAAAGCGCTCCACTATTTTGACCACGCCCATTTTAAGGCAGTAAAACTGCGTTTCCCTTCAGCTATGTCAGTTACAAGTGGGGTCAGAATAATTTCAAGCACACTGGTACTTCTGATCACTTGTTAAAGCACTGGAAGCTGCTGAAATCATAGTCAGGGGGCTAGATAACTTGATCACGAGGCTTGGTAGTAATGCAAGAGTCCAGAACTTCAGTAGTTTCTTGCTGAGTCCAGCCATAAGGGGGGTGCTCAATCACCCTCAACACCCCCCTGGATATGCCTCTGTAGATCAATGCTCATTGGGGTAGTCTTACCCACAATACTAGCTATCAATCTCATTGGGATCAAAGTCTCCTCATTTATTGAATGTAGCAGAATCTTTAATATATGCAGCTTATCTCGTGGAACTGTAATCTCACTGAGAGTTGAACAATTTCAAAACCTAACCAAGTAGCTTGCTTGGAAGGAATAAACTTACTTCTCTTTTTGTTAATTACTGACCCGTTATAATTTCTTCGACTATTCTATTGACAGAATTAGATTGTGTTTCCGATGCTCTCACAGAAAATAACCAATCATCAAGACAAAGTACTAATCTTATTTCTAAGGCCCAAATATGCTTAACCACAGGATGAAGCACTTTAGTAAAGTCATAACAGGCCGTGGAAAGCCCAAATGGTAAAACTGTAAACACATAAAACTGGTCTTCTCATTGGAAACCCAAATATTACTGGTGCTCAACATGGATATCAATATGATGATAACCCGACTTCAAGTGAAAAGTGAATGAATACGCATCTTCCTCAAAATAATCCAAGGCTGTTCTAAAATCCTTATGCTTAAATTTACACTTCCACAAACATTAATTGAGGAATTTCAAACTCATAATTACCGTCCTCGTACCCCCAGAATTTTCAACAACTAACATGGACTACAAATAACCTGTTTCTGAGCTACTAACCTAGCACAACCATTTTCCACAAGCTCACTAACAGACTCAGTAACAAATTCAATATTTTCCCTTGTGCAATTATAATTTCAAGCACTGCATGTGGGGTTATGCCGATAAAAGGTAATCTGTAAGTGTTTTCAATAGTATCCAAAATATACGTCAAAGGATTTAACACATCCTGCCAAAATGGCAAATGTTGTTTGAGCCACCCTTTAACCATTACTGTCTCAACCCCATGCTCACTAGTTTCCCCATATCTAGTTGACATATTAACAAAATATCATTACTCTCTGACGGGTGCTCACTCTACCCATCTACTTCAGTACAACTAAATTGAGGATACTGAAGTGCTTTTAATTTGGACAGGAACTCTGCAAATGACCCATTTCGCTACACCAGAAACACTGACCAATCAGTCTAAAACTACCAAAAAGGCCAAAAAATGACCAGCTGGCTGATGAGTCAGACCTTGCTTTAGTGGGCCAATTGGCATTCAATTGCTGCTGGAGAGCTAGAATCCTTCCTGGATTTGGAACAATTGGCGTGACTGCAACTTTATTTTTGCAGCTGCTGAAGCAGTAGCTTTCTCAGCTTTTACGATCCTCTTCACATCATCTTCATACTTGGCCAAAGACTCAGATTCATACTCCTTAACCACTCTCCACCCATGCTCATTTCGCTCAATGAGCTTTTGTCCATGTGTAATAAGGTTCATACCTTCCTTGATGTTCCTCTTTTTTGCTTTCACTACTGACTGATTGAAGGCTTCTGTCAGCTCAGGAACTGCTTCAGTGATTTTTCCAGCTGCTTCTCCACAAAGACAATTTGGTCTTCGTTGCCTTTGGATTTGAAGTCCATAGGTTCTTTAGCTGCTATCTCTGCAACTTCATCAAAGCGATCATACAGCCTTGCAAACGTATCCTCCACAAGACGAGTGAGACATTCCTCCATGATATAAAGAACAGGTAAACCAAGAATAAGTTTGAAGCCGGGTTATAGAAGTAGGATAACTACAGGAAGGAGTAGACTGCATAGGTACAGATTTATGAATGATAATCTGCTTACACTAGTCTCCTTGCACAATGTATGCCGTAGACTGTCTCTTGACCAATGTGAAGGGGATATATATATAATGAATGATCCCCAAGCCCCACCCATAGGTGGTGCAGTCTAACAGGAACAAAATTATATGGGAGCTTATTTTCTGCCTAAGTCATGACATTCAACCATTGAAAATACACTTATCATGCAATTTTTTAAAAATTTTAACAAGTTCTTTTCACCTATTTTGCAATTATGAGAACTCCATGACATTTAAACTGCAACACTAAAGTTGCTAAACTATGCCTAGTACAGCACTATA